AAAGCCTGATGGTCATGAGGACAGTTACTCAACGGTGACATTGGGTGACGGTTGCGCTATATCGTGAGCTAACATAAGTTGGAAATACGGGCGTTGGATTCTGACCCAGTGGATAGCTCAATGGTAACGTGCTGACCACGGAACTTGAAGGTGGCGGGTTCGATCCCCGGAGGGTGGGGTCGTGGATGCACACTGCTGAGAAGTTCCATACTAGTGAGACGAAACAGCTGTCTGGTGTTTCCAGGTTTCCTTTGTTCCCCCAACTGATGTTAGTCTACGATGAATAACAACTTGAAATAATTTAAATCATCCAAACTTGTTTGAATGATGATAGATATTTATCAAAAACAATTTACATAAAGTGAACAACTAAATATATTGTGTTTGGTACAGGCAAGTTGTTTGTAAATCGAACTACTATTCACCAAACACAACTACTATCTATCTTATGGTCTCAAATATGAACACAGAAGCTTCAGGACATGGTACTATGAATAGTAATATTAATATACTGGGTGATGATTAAAAGGTGAAATGAAAATTTGGACCACGGTCGGATTAGATAGTCAAAGTGATAATCAATATGATCCTCTCCGTTCTATCCAATCTAATTAGATTTCGATCAAGATGAGACGTCCTGACCAGGCAACCAGTGTGAATACGATCAAGCGATAGTGACGCATCCCGAATTCACATGGTAGTTGGGTGAAATCCATAGTGATTGAATCGAAATAAAAATTTGGTCAGAAGTCGGACCTCGTAGCTCAGATGGTAGAGCGTCGGGCGGGAAGCCCGATGGCAGCTGGTTCAAATCTGGCCGTGGTCCAGATTTTTGTTTCATCTTCGATCATCACTCAGTATAAATACTAGTCTGTTAAACTACGTCTATCTCACATAGTCAAAATAGTAATAAATATGATGCTACCCTTCTCCACTTTAAGTAGATTTGGTTTGGGATGAGAAGTCTTGACTCGGTAACCAGTGTGAATACGATCAAGCAGTAGTAACCCATCACGAATTCATATGGTAGTCGAGCAAAACCTTTGGTGATTGAAGTGAAATAAAAATCTGGTCATCAGTCGAACCTCGCAGGTTAGTTGGTAGATCATCGGGCCAGAAACCCTGTGGCCACTGATTCGAATCCTGCCACGGTCCGAATTTTCATTTCACTTTTAACCATCACCCAGTATCAATACTAGTCTGCTAAACTATAGCTGTCTCAGATAGAATACTAATAATAATAACCAATTGGTGAAGAAGCAGTCGGAAATGATGGTTTTCAAAATAAATCGACATTATGTTAATGATGAATCATGGCTAGCAGTGGAATCCAGAATGCGCATTTCATCCTATTTGGGACTCACTGGTCAGCTGGATATGGTGGATAATGCGTTGGCGTTTGAAGCGATCGCTCCCAAGTCCGAATCCTGGTGGGAACAACATCACTCACTGGGAAGCACGTACATCCAGCTGACCAGTGAGTCCCAAATAGGACGAAATGCGCCTCCTAAATTCCACTGCTAGCCACGATCCATCATTAATATGATTACAACGCAGGCAATATCGAGGCATCCGCACAGGAGCCCATATGCCAATAGAGACCGATCAATTAGGTCCAATCAACGACGGTATCATATAAAAACAATTATACTATAGATCGATATTCCTCAAGAAATGATTGATAATCTCAGAATCAAAAGACAGTTTTACTTTTAATCCTATATCCAAAGTTTACAAGAAAATTTTTCATAGAAGATATGCAAGAGCATTGAATTCTTCAAATTATGTTCAAATATTCACACATCTTTAAAAAATTCATGAAACAAATTACTCTATCTTTAAAGTACAAGAGATGACTAACTGTATAATCATTTCTAGTATTCATTATTAACTAGCTAGGGAGACAATGAGATAATGATTATGTCAACAATTAATTAGATGATTAAGTAATTAGTTCTTCAAGTGATAATTTTATTGAATTGGAAAACAACAGTCTTCTAAAGCATTGCTTAATCCTTCAAAAGTAAAACACAATCATTAAGAAGTCTTACTACAGAGATTATGAGACAATATACAAACAGATGAAATATACTGAGAGTTTCACATTCTCGATACCGGTTAGAAGAATATCGATATATGTGGGGGGATCAGCACGGAATCCGAAAGAAATCCATTATCTAATAACTTATATGGGAACAACATCACTCACTGAGAAGCATGTACATCCAGTTGACGAGTCCCAAATAGGACGAAGTACGCATCGTGGATTCCACTGCTAGCCACGATCAATCATTAATTTTTTAGACGAATTAGTTATTTTAAAAAAAAATCTAACTGAGTACCCCTATTTCGGTTATTTAATAATTTCTACTCAACCCGATTAAAGTGTCTATATGCTAGAGCATGAGACGTATATTAATCACATGAGAGCTTGTTATGCTAACCGATTGTTCAAGCTCAGAAAAAGTGGACGCAAATTTGAACTAAAGTTGAACTAAATGTTCACAATTTTCTGTATAGTTATCCTAATATATACACTCAGTTGATTGTTAGTATTCCCTCTTTTGTCACTATAACACACATACACACACACAAACATGAATTAAAAGCCAATTGGTTCCCCTCTTTCATCCACTAGTAGTATCAGTTAGCAACACCAAATAAACATAATTTAGTAATATACTATGATCTCATTAAGAATTCTATGTATGTACTTGGGACTCAATCAACTGTAGAAAATATCGGACACATGGGCAAAATCAACGTAGAATCTCGCACACAAGTGCATCACTTCAAGTTGCTACACTTCATAGTAGTATATAGAGAACAGGTGAATGTAAGAAGGGCGATATCAAAGTAGAAAAAGTTGTATAAGAGAAGAAATAAACTGAATAAAAAGATTAGTGTAAATATTCAGGCTATGGAAGACCTCAAGAAGTGAATACATTTGCGCCACTGTGACTGATTTTCAATGATGTCACCAAGAGTTCTAAACCAAGGATTCCAACCGAGCAATCTACATCGATTGGTGTCCTGTCTTGCTCTGGCCATCCTGAGCTCTCTTCTAACTAATCCAGCTGCCCTTATTATGAGTTGTCTCAACATGCTCAGTACATCTATAAGCTGATAATCTCAACAATCGACTTGCCTGTCTTGTCTAATACCGTTTGACCAGCTTTAACATTGCTCACACAGTGATTGACATTTGTGATGTAAACCCTATACTCGCTCCATATCTTCTACTTTCAACGGTTATGTCTCACAGTCGTATAGGAGGACAGAACGGAATGAAGCTAAGAATTTTAAACATTGAATTATGTTTTCAAAATACTAAGATGTACACAGTACGAGAACATGAAGTCTCTTATCACGATACAAATGATCTCAGCCAAAAGTCTATAGTTTTATAAACAAAGTGGACTAGACTAGTGTTACACATATTCTAATGTGGCAGCTTTCTCCCACTCCGCTACCACTTCAGCGTATTTCGACGGAAGTAGTAACTAGGGTTGCATGACCATACACCTAAATTATCTATTCCAGCTGATACATGACTTACAACCTTGGGCAACTGAATCATCTTTGACATAAAACGCTATATCGTGAACTAACAGAAGTAGAAAATATGGACGATTGATTTCCGACCCAGTGACTAAATGGTAACATGATGGCCACGGAACCTGAAGGTCGCGGGTTCGATCCCTGGTGGGGTCATAGGTACGCAGTGCTAGGAACGAGATAGCTGTCCAGCACTCCCAGGTTTTCAATGTTCCTCCAATTGATGTCAGTCCATAATGAATTTTACAAACCTTCTGATAAAGAATAAAATAACTTGAATATTTCTATCTTGACTTTATATCACACGGAATAGATGATTCAGTACCATATAAGGACTGAATGTATCTGAACATGAAGAAATTGATATAACGTTTTCGCATAGGGCTAGCAACCGTACCCCGTAAAACCAATCCAATCGATAAAAAAACTTCAAAGCACAAACAAAATATAAAAAATGAAAATGAAATTATTCCTCGCTGGAATCGGAGAGGCGAAATGACGCCAGTTGGTGAAAGCCTGCTTTCGGGAAGCCAATTGGCCCACGTGTCTTCCCTCTCTCGATGAAAGCGAAAGTAAACGTGGGGACATGGAATGTCCGCACGATGTTTGAACCCAGCAAGGCTGCCCAGATTACAAAAGAGATGAGGAGATATGGCATGGAAATGCTTGGAATCTGCGAAAGTAGGTGGAATGGGAGTGGACTCTCCAAACTGTCAACTGGAGAATCAATAATCTACTCTGATATTGTCACCCAGACGACGACCACGAGCACACTGAGATATGCAGTGGCTACCATGATGTCCCAAGAGCATCGAAGGCTCTCATGCACTGGGAACCAATCTCCTCCAGGATCATGACAGCAAGGTTCAACTCAAAAGGAAGGAAGGTCACAATCATACAATGCTACGCACCTACAAATAATGAAGAGCAAGAGAAACAGGAGGAATTCTACAGACAACTGCAATCAACACTGTACAAGACCCCACCCCAGATGGCGACATCAAAATTCTAATGGGCGACATGAATGCCAAACTGGCAGCGGACAAAACAGGAAGAGAAATAACCATGGGCGGAGAAGCGCTACGTGAAATGAACGAGAATGGAGAATTGTTTGCAGAATTCTGTGCATTCAACGATTTGGTGATTAGAGGCACTGCATTGAGAAGACCATTTGGGGACATCACGCTACAAGCCAAGTTGTCGAGTGGAACCCAGATGGAAAACGACGAGTTAGGCGTCCGAGGGTGACATGGAGGAGATCATATGAGGAAGAAATCAGAGCTTCTGGGCTATCGTAGAGCCAGGTTCAAAAGACTGCAGAGAAGAGAGTGCACTGGAGACGTGCTACTGAAGCCCTATGTTCCACTAGGAACCCAAGGGACAAATAATAATAATCAATCATAAAATTCAGTTTGATTTTTAGACATTAAAAAAAGACTTACTCATAGCAGTTTGTAATTTATCTACAAATAAAATAGTCTCATCATTTGAACAAATAGTCGGATTATTGATAATACCATCAATTTGTAGAACAGATTTATCTTCATTGTTGAGTAAATCTGTACTAATCGGTTCTGTTATAGACAGCATATTAGTAAATGATGTTTTCAAATTTTGTGTAGATGGTTGAGGAGTGATAACAGAGATTTCATTAGTAACTGGTAGGATATTTGGATTTTTAGAGATTAATGATTCAGATGGTGATGATAAAGTTACAGATGGTTGATTTTGAGCCGATGATGATGATGATGCACTTGGTTTCAGTACACGTTGTCGATCAATATTTTGTGTAGTTACACTATTTTCTTGTATATAAGCTGACCATCTAATAATCACAACAACAAAAAAATCCATATGAAAGTATCCATTAGAAAAAAAATTGCTAGAAAGTGTGTAGGCAGATTTTTTTTCTTCCCACTTCAAAAGTTAGAAATGAAGAAAAACTAGTTGTTAACAAAAAAATTGAAGGTACGTGAGCAGTTAAGTAAGCCTCAAAGAAAGGATTATATTCTCATTTTGATTCTATTCAGTGAATGAAATGTTTTAAATGTCTCGATTACCTGATATAATCTATTATGGATTATCAATTTGACTATATCAGATAGCTGTTATTTAACAGACTTGTATATAAGTGACACTGGTTGATGAAAGTCTGACCCAACAACTCCTGGGTTACCGGTCCCGTGTTCAATCAACTAAGCTACGACACCCGGTTCCTGACAAGATCATAATTCCACTTAAATGACTAACGGTTTTAGAAGTAGTATTCATCATGGACTGACATTAGTTGGGGGACCATTGAAAGTCTGGGAGCACTGGACAGCTGTTTCGTCCTAGTATGGGACTCCTCAGCAGTACGCACCCACGACCAGGCTAGGGATCGAACTCAGGACCTTCAGGGTTTCGCCGCACTGTCGGATATATTACATGTCCAAACCCATAACTAATATGATGCTGCACTTCTATATTTCAGTGGGATTTCGATGAGAAGTCCTCACTGGGCAACCAGTGTGACTACGACCAAACGCATCACAAATTCACATGATCGTTGAGCAAAGCTTTGGTGACTGCAGTGAAATTGAGATCTAGTCAGAAAATGGGTCTCATAGGTCATTTGGTAAAGCATTAGGCCGGTAATGCTGCAGCCACTGGTTCGAATCCTGCTGTGGTCTATATTTTCATTCCACCTTCAATTACCACCCAATATTATATGTTAACACAAACTATTGAGTGGAATCAATGACTCTGCAGTTATAGAAGATTACCACATTAGTGTGTGTGCGACCAAATCAGACCGAGGGGAATTCAATCGTCTATGACTGGATTTTTGAGGTAAAAAAGACGATAAGATGGAACAATGACGGAAATTTCCACCTTTCAATAAAATTCTGAAGAGTACATTTCAGTGTTAAATCAGCACAGGACGCCTCTACCATCCAAGACCCTCCATACCTGAAAGTATACATATCACAGACACGGTTAATGTTTTTCTTTTCAACAGTATATCAACTTAGACTGCTAACAACATTTGCGTTTTAACTACTAACTTGACAAAAGAATGTCTACTTCTCCTGTACGTTTAACGCATCACCAACACATTCGAAACGTACTCAAAAACGTTGTGCATATCTGTGAAATGGGCGATGACACTAACAGGTTGTCAAAACCTTGCTGAGGTGCAGCGATATTCAAACTCGTAACCCACTGGATGAAAATCATTTCCTAAAACCAATGACCCATAGCTCTACTACGAACACATCAGTATCCTGTAGAAGTGCTCTTTATTTTGATAACATGAAACAAACAATGACTGATAGTGAATCAAGTGTCTCATGAATAACTTATTTGCTTATGGAAGCAAATCTGTTTGAAAACATTTCCTTTTCGATGAAATCATCCTCTTAGGTGTACATTCATGAATATATAGTTGAAAGAATAGAACACTACCGGTCAAAGGTTCATACAAACTGTACGACAAAGGCGATTAAAATGGGGAAATAGACGAAATGATAACAAAATAGGATCGATCCTAAACGATCGCCATACCAAAGGAAGAGGTTGTACACACTTCCTTTTGAACGCATAATGATGGTTTGAATTCTTGAATCGCTAGTGCTTCAGTTATGCTTAGATGTCTTAACCTGACTCCTTTCAAGTGTCTAGGTAGCACTTTGTACAGAATATTTAAAGAAATTATCAAAAGGAGCTAAATGTCTTGAGTTTACCAAGTGTTCTGTTGCACAGCTGAAGATGTATTTCCATTGTCCCCTTGTCAGCCAAGTTGGGAAGTGTTCATAAGTGCGTTGCATAAGCTGGTACACAGTACGGTCGATCTAATTAGCTCCACAGGAGCAAGTAAACTGATACACACAACACTGATGTGGCAACACTGAATTGATATTTCAAATACTCATACAAGATTAACACTATCGAGTCTTCAGTAAGGATGTAAGACCTAGAAGTATGCATACGAAAACTAAAAATTCAACAACGATATCATGCTCCGGTGACTTAATTGATAAAGCTTTGGCGTTTGAAGAGATGGGTACCGGGTTCAAGTCTCAGGGGAAACAACACTCACTGAGGTGCAGAAACATCCAACTGACGAATCCCAAATAGAACGAAACGCGCATCCTGGGTTCCTCTGCTAGTCATTAACATGAGTATTTCAGCAACGCTATCTATTAGTTATCACAGTATAACATGATTATTCTATCTAAGACTAGCTTGACATGTATATTCCTCTAAGCATCTATAAAAATTATTCAAACTTTCTATCCAGTCATGCACAATAAATAAATATGAAGATTCAGAAACATTTGACGACAGGATTTTATTAGGTGATGATTGAGGGTGAAATGAAAATTCTGACCGCGGCCGGATTCCAACCAGCCACCACCACCGGATTCCCAATTCGATGTTCTACTCTAACTGAGCTACGAGGTCCAACTGCTGACCAGATTCTTACTTCACTTCAATCACCAAGGGTTTTTTCCGACTACGTGATGCGTTACTACCGCTCGATCATATGCACACTGGCTGCCTAGTCAGGACTTCTCATCCTCATCGAAATCGAACCGAAATGCAGAGATGGAGCATCGTATTGATCATCATTTTGACTATGTGAAATAGTCATGGTTTGGCAGACTAGTATTTATACTGGGTGATGATTGAAGGTGAAGTGAAAATCTAGACCACGGTCGGATTCGAAACAGAGAACAGAGGTTTTCAATCATCACCTAGTATCAATACTAGTCTGCCAAACCACGGTTATCTCAGATAATCAAAATGATAATATGGTTCTAATAACAAACCGTTTAAGATGTACATACATCATCTACTCAGGATGACATCATCATAAGCATTAATAACAAAAATGACAACAACAACAACAACAACAACAAAAACTCACTTCTGTCGATCATCCTCTTTTGAAAATAATAACCGGATTAAAACTGTCTGTTTCATGAAAACAATATTTAACAAATGATCACCACCTGTAATTCAAAAATTATTTCAATTATGTTGAGATATTACTAAGTAAAAACAATATCAATAAATTAAAAGAACTAGCCATAGGTGTTTTAGATCTGGGTCAGATTAAATCTAATTACTGTTACCACTCCCCCCACCTCACTTCATCCTCAGCTTATAGGCTGTTAGTGGTTAAAAGTAAAATCTCTATCCAAAGGCCTGTATGCATTTAGCAGTGATAGCAGGGGACTGAAGTGAGGTTATCATCGAAGAAGTGTTTCATAAACATAATCTCATAGAAGACAATGATTTCTCATCGTAGTTAAAAATATGTATTGATTATGACTAACTACTCTACATTTAGACAAGGTAAGATTACACTGTCGTACTCTAATGATTACAAACTATCTATCAATCGCCATGTAATATTAACCCGTAAGTGTTATGTAGATATGAACGTGGCCTGACCAACAAATAACTGGATGGTTTAAAAAATGTGGGCACTGAGTTAGTATGATTCATTGTAAAGGGTCAATTTTTATTTATATAATCCCGGCGTAGAATATTAGAATGAATAATAAATATTTTGAATAATCATTATAAAGATCAACATAGGTCTAGGCATTACTGTGTAACCGTTCAAGTTGTCACACCTCATCTCATATCACCACATCAAGTAAGAAGAAAATAAAACGGAAGATGAAGAAGGAAAGAAAAATCGGCTAAAGAAAGTAGAAGTAGAAAGTAGTAAAGGAAAGCAAGGAACAATGAGAAGGTGATGAGATTAACTACAGAGGTTCAGATGAGGACAGTGTGTATACACATCTGCGCCACTGATATCGGTTCTCAGCCATATCACCTAGAGTCTCCAACTACTGGTTCCTTTAATCCCCCGTACCCGAACCGACTAGTCTGCATCAATCTACATCACTCAAACCAACAGTCAACAACTTCATGCATTGATGCCATCTTTTAGTCTGGCCGCTCTGAGTTTTTCCAGCCTCAACCTACTTCAGCCAACATTGTGTGACGAGGCAGACTGTGGTTAGGCATATGTAACACATGTCCCAGTCAGCCATCTCAGTCGATGAAGGTTCACAACCCCATCAACTGTCTTAACTCTCCTGCCTAAATCTCTACCGCTGACTTCTGCGTTACTCACATGGTAACACCACAAAACACGGCGTATGCTACGAAGGTATTGGTAGCATTCTCATGTCTTCTATTTTTAATGCCCGTGTTTCACAGCCATATTAGTAGAACAGAAAGAACTGCAGCACAGTACGAAATATGTTTATTTTGTTGTCCGTTCTAATATACTTAGCCGGGATTACAGAAATACAAATACGCCTTATAGGATGCTATATAAATAGTCTGGTTGAAGGCTAGCAGTGAAATCACTTCAAACCTCAAGGTGTTATCCATTGAGGCACGATAGTCAACTTTTGCGCAACGAGTATTAGTTGTTGTTTAAGAATTGTAATTACCCATCGCTATACAGAGTAGAATTGCTCGACTTCTGTCGGTAGATGGCATCCTATGCTATGTAAATAACTTAATAGTTAAGCATAAAACTTAGAGACTCAAATATTCAAAAGTCATTTTTACCAAAGTATATAATGGTATAATTGTTTTTATAGAATATCGTCGTTGATTGGACCGAATTGATCGGTCTCCATTGACATATGGACTCCTGTGTGGATGCCTCGATATTGCCTGCGTTGTAATCATATTAATGATGGATTATGGCTAGCAGTGGAATTTAGGAGGCGCATTTCGTCCTATTTGGGACTCACTGGTCAGCTGGATGTACGTGCTTCCCAGTGAGTGATGTTGTTCCCACCAGGACTCGGACTCGGGAGCTATCGTGACTCGGTGGTGTAGTGGATGTGATCGCTCCCGAGTCGGAATCCTGATGGGAACAACACTCACTGGGAAGCAGGTGCATCCAGCTGACCAGTGAGTCCCAAATAGAACGAAATGCGCATCCTGGATTCCACTGCTAGCCATGATCTATCATTAAAGTATACAATGGATGTTCAGACCATTAATCTAATGGATAAGCCAATGTTGCTCGGCATGAAAGATGCTAAGAAAAACATCATGACAACTTTATGATAGGTATTAGAATCAAGATAATAAATTGCACCATGCATAGTTAAAGTACCATAGAATAAGTGGATTTGCAATGTTAGTATAACCATATAAAGAATTTGATGGAAAATGAATGAGATTAAAAGTTTGTTGAAGCTTTCCATGAATGAAATAAAAGAGCTCTATAACTTGCCCACTTAGTTGACACAGGGCATCAAGTGGTTACTAGAAAGCCTTCAAAATTATCCATTAGATTCCAATTAATTTACCTCATGGATTACGAACTCGGTTACTTCACATAGCAGAGGTGATTGCAATCCACCTTTACAAACCTAACCTTTGTATCGAAAAGAAGTATTTTTTTGACCACTTTCATTACCGTGTGTCGTCAACATGATGTAACTTCTAGGTTTACTTTATACACCTTTTCCCCCTTCTTGTTTCTATCAATATTTATGTTTCCAATTTTAGTAACTCTATTGATTATTTACATCATTATTTTGATTAAATTTTATACCTATGCATATTAGTGTAGAGCCCAAGATGAAAACCTGATTGAAAAGGAATATATTTCATCGCTTAATCAGTCTTTTTCTAAATATCTAAATGGAAATATTCAATGTATTGAAATAAAAGTTCCAGAAATCCTGGAATAACTTCTTCTATAGAGTCCAAAGATTCACACTGAGTTTGTAAGAACCAATGATATTGGTTCATGAATATCAAAATTGACATGTGGGTGGAGTGGTTTTGAATTCATGATGAAAAACTTAACGGTTGTACCTCATCTCTATAGAAAAAACGATTTGTTACAATAAATAGGTGTAATATGAATACACTGCACAAAACATCCCCGGGGATTAATTACTTCTGATTAGTTCAGAATAACTTTTTCAAAACTTTAAACAACTGACTTTTTATGATAATTTACTTGGTTGTGTCTAGCAGAAGAGTCCAGGATTCACGTTTCGTCCTATTTGGGACTCACTAGTCAGCTGGATGTACCTGCAATTCAGTAAGTGATATTGTTCCCCACTCAGACTCGAATCCTGTACCCATCCCTTCGAATACCAAAGCGTTATCCACTAGGCCATGAAGACACGATAACCACCTCTTGTACAACGGGTAGATACATTTTTAATCCTTCGTTGTTTTACTGGATCGAATTGTTCGACCTCAGTGAGAACAAAATAAGTCACTGAGAAACAGGCACATCCAGCTGACAAGTCTCAAATATGATGAAACTCTCGTTCTGGGTTCCTCTGTTAGCCACAACAAAGTAGACTTATTTTTTGTTCATTTAAAAATTAGGTTTGAATAAGGAATCGAGGTGAACTCAGTAACCATGTGCAGTAGGCCAGGAGTCACATATATTGTGTGAGGGGGGGCTAATGATACTATCTATCTGCTTAAACCTGGTTAGGTGAATCGGGAATCGAACATGTAATCCTCTAGCTTAAACTAATGAATTGCTTAGGTATTATGAATTTTGATAAAGATAACAAGATTAATTAGGTTAACAACTTTATACTAAACTTACCAAATTTTTCACCACATGAAGTAAACACATCTATCAATGGGAAAATGGGGACAAGTTTAGAACTTCCTGATGTTGAAGAACGATCAGTCATACTTGCAACTGCAGCATTAGCAGCTGCAGATACAAGACTAGTATGCGATTGAACATTTGAATTGGATAGAACAGAACTAATTGAACTATTTGATGAGATAGAAGAATGTCCAGATATATTGATTAAATTTTGTCTTTCTTTCTCGGTAAGTGTACTAGATGATCCAAAACTTGAAACACGTTCTGTACAACTTCCAGTAGTTCCAGAACTTCCACAACTACTACCACCACCTTGTTCTCGAACAGCTTTAAAACCTCGTAAAATATAACGTTCATTATCTTTAACTAATAAAATTAGTGCATCATGTAAGAGAATGGCTAACATATCTGTTCTTTCACAAATAAATCATGATTCACTTTATTCGATCGATTAGCTGTTAATTTATCTACAGTGACTTCAGCATGAGCTACAACCCAATGATGAAATAAAACTCGAGGGAAATTCAAAAGTAAATGCTAAGGAAAAAAAAAAAGAAAACAGTAAGAGATCAATACATATAATGATAATGAAAAAGAGTAAGCAAATCAGTCAACGGAATAGATAATCTTTATTTGATGTCATCTTAAAAAAACCGAGACTAGTTTGATATGATATTTCTTACTTATAATAAGATATCAACTTTCAATGTTTAATCTTCCAACTCCCACTTGATCTAATAAAATCACAGTAAACCACTTTCAGTAGCGATAAACTTGATCAAAGTTATTAATGAGTCCTAATTAGTACATAGTTCATATCTTCGTCATCTCTAATCTACAATTTCTAATACATTAAAGATAATTTAGCTCAGCAATATTGGCAATCATTATTGGCAAAGGAAACACAGAAATTTCATATTCAATTTGTTTATCTGATACAGTATTATTTACTTGATGACGACGATCAAAGCATTAGTTATTACTACTCATGATCATGTCAATGTAATCAAACTACTTTCGATATCTGATTTTTATTGTCCTGTCACCCACCCCTCATATTTTTTGTTTCTAATGATAGCATAGTCTTCTATATCTCTGGGATAGGTGTTGCATCATTTCTATTACATGTGTTGGGTTGGGTGTTGATTCGATGAACAGAGATTCAGTAACCAATCTCTTTTTCCTCCTAATTATATTTGGATTTGAGTAAAGTGGTTTCATCCCACCTACTCTATTGTGTGGTTGTGTGTTGATACATGCATTGCTATAGCCGAGTTATTTTCTAAATTATTTATGTTATTCGGGTCTGTCATTTTATATTTAGCTAAATCCCTATCTTGGTTATATTTTGTTCTGTGAGCTGGGTTGTTTAATTGTGGAGTTTCATTGTCTTTCTAGACAACATCATCAACACTATCTTCAGTATGAAGTGAGCTGTCAATATCTCTCCGTGAGTAATTTAGTAGCTTGCCTTGACAAAGTGGTCTGTGATTAGTCGTTTCCTTTGGTTGTTGTGTCACTGACTGTATAGATTTTCCTGTTGACCGTCCCTCTGCTTGATCTCTGACCTTTCTGTTATTTATCATTTTTCTCATTGGTTGATAGATTGGGTCTATGTCCATACAACTATTGATTATTGACTAACCTGAATGCCAAGCTTCTAAGAATTCTCTGATATTCTTTATTTCCTCTGTTCAAGATTTCTACATTATCAAAATTGAATTCATGTCTATGGTTATCCTCGTGCGTTGAGAAGGCTACTAAATCTCTCAGGGAGAGATATTGACAGCTCACTTCATAATGAAGTTAGTGCTGATGATGTCGTCCAGAAAGACGATGGAAGCTCCACGACTGAACAACACAGCTCACAGAAAAAAATACAACCAAGATCATCCATCTGAGCTACAAATATTCCCCACCATTTTAAATTCCTAAGTTCCACTATTCTAACTGACCCCGACTGGCTAGCTTGACCTATGTACTTGACCTCACAAGCATTACATGGAATTTGGTAGATTAGATTATTTTGCTTGATTGGTTCTATCGGATCCTTAGGCTAGCCGACAAAGCTTATCTCTTGGTGAGTTTGTAAGTAGGTTTAAATGCTACCCTAATTCCTACGTAAAGTTTCTGATGTGCCTTCCTTATAGGGTAACACAATGGAGGCTATGAAGTCCTTTCTACTTGTGTTGCCGTTATTATTCGTACTTGTATTTCTGTTATTTTTTCGTTTTTTGTATGTTCGTACGAATGTCTTAATAAATGAACACATAAGAAACGAAATAACAACAATAACGACAACTTGAGTAGAAAGGAGATCACAATCTCCACCGTATTACTCTATAAGGAAGGTACATCAGAAAATTTATGCAGGATCCTCAACAAAGCTGTAGTTAAAGTGACATATAAACCTATAAACTCGGCTGTTGCAATGCATGTATCAACACACAACCACACAATAGAGTAGGTGGGATGAAACCACTTTACTCAAATCCAAATATAATTAGGAGGAAAAAGAGATTGGTTACTGAATCTCTGTTCATCGAATCAACACCCAACCCAACACATGTAATAGAAATGATGCAACACCTATCCCAGAGATATAGAAGACTATGCTATCATTAGAAACAAAAAATATGAGGGGTGGGTGACAGGACAATAAAAATCAGATATCGAAAGTAGTTTGATTACATTGACATGATCATGAGTAGTAATAACTAATGCTTTGATCGTCGTCATCAAGTAAATAATACTGTATCACACTGCGTAATCAAAATAAATAAATCTAATATGGAAATATTTATCCCTTGATTTGCATTGAAATGCACTCAACGACTAAATGCACGTTCATGAAGTAGAGGCCAATGAATCACAACCTAATGTATGAGAGTTAATGATACATACTACTTAGCTGCCTAAACGTCAGTCAATGGAGCAGGGTTCGAACCCGTGACTCTTCGGTCAAAAAATTAACTATCTAAACTAATGAGTCAATTTCTTTGATTGACATTAGACAACTAAAACTATTATGAACTGATATGTAATAGAGAAAATATATGCAAAAACAAATTAAAGACAAAGAAAATACCTGAAATGGTAGTAGTAAATCAGGAAGTGGTTTAGATAAAATATCTTTTTTGTCCAATGTAGTACACAATTGACCTTGATTAATGCATTTTACAAGAGGCATACATACATTATCAATAGTTTGTGGTAGACTAGCAAGTTTCAGTTGAATTTGTTGCCAAATTTTAGCCTCAGCTAAACACATAAGAGGACAGAACATAAGAGAATATCGATTAAATAGAATTTACTTATTTGATAAGATAATGATAATTGAAAAGTCAAAATTATCGTATAATAAACTGTTAATATGAAAAATAAATGAAAATTCACACGAAACATTGAAAACCTGAGTGAAATAAGTAGAAAACTACATAAGTATAATTCTAGTACTCTTAGATACGCGAGATAGTTGTGATTTGGCAGATTTACACCATTGATACTGGGTGATGATTGAAGCTGAAGTAATAATTTGGGCTACAACAGGATTCAAACTGGTAGCCTTTAGGTTTCCGGTGCTCTATTAAGTGAGCCAGGAAGAGCCAACTACTGATTTTTATCTTACTTCAATTGCTCACTGGTTTGAATATTACCACGGCCCAAATTTTCATTTCACCTTTAATCATCAGCCAGTATTATAAACTATAAAGAGCAACTATATATTGATTTAAGATGTGCAAGTATACGGCACAGATTTGTCCAGTGAAAACTAATTAATCAAGGGTAGTGAGTAGAAAGACAAAAAATCAGATGTACAGGAAGACATAGCAACTCACATCTCACATAATTACCCTATTACATGAAAATGTAGATTTCATTAACCAGATCATAGTGATCTAAACACTGAACGGCTGTTTCGCTCCTTCAAATCCGAGCTCAGTAGCAGCGTATCCGGACAAATTCACCTCATAGACTCGCATTACTTCACATCACCTCAATCTATCCCCCCGGCTATCTCGCATCCACCAGGTTACGCTTCTCCAATTTGACTGGCCAAACCTAAACATTGGTCTGCGTGGCTTCTAACCTCCTAATTTTCTTCAGTAGTACCATCTTTCGCTAGTTCATGATACTTTTATGTCCGAGATCACACCTTGTGATCTTGGCTGACGACTAGATTCCAGAGAAAAACCTTGTCGACTGGTACCATAATAACTGGGCAGTTGGAAAACTACTCAACTGTAAGAAATGTGAAGGTGAACTAGACAATTCGTAAATGATTCGCAAATTCATAATCCTATTGAAATATAAACTTCATAATTATATATTTCAAGTTGTTATTCATCGTAGACTAACATCAGTTGGAGGAACAAAGGAAACCTGGGAATACTGGACAGCTGTTTCATCCAACTAGTATGGGACTCCTCAGCAGTGGGCATCCATGACCCCGCCCTCCAGGGATCGAGCCCGCAACCTTCAGGTCCCGTGGTTAGCAGGTTACCATTTAGCTAGCCACTGGGTCACAATCCAATGCTCCATATTTCCAACTTCTGTTAGCTCATGAGGAGTCCCGTACTAGTCGGACGAAACAGCTGTCCAGTGCTCTCAGGTTTCCTTTGTTCCTCCATCGATGAATAAACAGCTTAAAATACTTCCAAATCCCCACAACTCCCTCAATATATATTATATATGTCAGTATGCAGCAAATATAACCCTAACTGAGCATTCCAGTAATTAGATGAATAGGGATACACCATAGTATGGATAGCACCCTTTAAGGTTACTTCTTTCCATAGAAGAAACAAAAGTGAATAAGATACAACCTTTCAACAGATTGATACAATAACTTATCAACTAGGAATAAAAACCAGAAAAAAACTGTAAATCACCTTTATATTTTTTAGTTTTCTTTTCTAAATCTTTTGCAATATTGTTAGCAATCAAAGGTAAATTGAAGTAAAGAATTCGCATTTGTTTTAAACCTTCGATAAGTATAAATTTATTATGTCGAGTTTGTAATAAAGGCACGATATCCGGATGTCGGCGAACATAATCTCGAACAGAATGTCGAACACCATCTAGCATGTTTGAACATGATAAAGCTTGACAATGACGCGCCCATATCTGTTATAACAATACATATACCATATAATTTTGTAATGTGAATAGCAATAATAATAACAATAATAATAGGATTATGTATGTGTATACTCCGAGTGGTTTACGAAGTATTATCTTGCAATCAAAAACCTGGACACAATCACCCAAAATCAGTTCTATCAAACCGATACCCCTATAGTATTTTATTTCAGCTCAACAGGCAGTCGACTTGACTAGCAGTAGGATCCAGGATGAACGTTTTGTCCTATTTGGGACTCATTAGTTGGATATGCCTACTGAGACTTGAACCGAGTACCCAACGCTTCAAACGCGAAAGCGTTATCCACTAGGCCACTGGGAGGATAGAAGCCAACTCTTGTGTCGAATTGCTTAACTCTTGTTTAGGCCTACACATATACAGCTTGACGATTGGCGTACTCTCTGTCCTCTAGGATTTGATATTCTATCGTTAGAGCTTCATGAATCAGGGTTTGTGAAATCATTCAATGTCAATTTTTCACCCTTTGATCAATATTTCTTAAAATATTCAGTTCGATTTTAACCAAATTCTCTGTTCTCTATCATAATATGATGTAAGAGTAACCAAGTAACAAGATAGCAGATGATTTGATGAAAGAGTATCATAAATATCCCTCTAGTAGAGTTAAATAAAGCCTCTATAGAGTGAATTGATCTATGCTTTGAAGATATTGCCATTAGGAATCAAAGCTTAATGGTTAAACTGATTGTTCGTATTGCTATGACATCAAAATAGAAAAATTTAAACGTTTAAACATAAAAGTTTTGTGAATTTGATATCTTTATTATTTCAAAAGAAGGATAATTGAAGCCTATAAAAATTTTCATTGTAAATTAATTTTATACAAAATGGCCAATTCCCCATTTTAGTAATCATGTTACTTATAATAAGAAAACTAGGAGAAAAACACTATATGATGTATACAAAAACAAACAGCTTAGAAAAGAGATAAATCTGTCAAATAACAGAACAATATACCTATTCATCACTAGATTCTAAGTAATTAGGATGTAGTTTATGAAAATAAAACTGTTTGTGAGATATAAAGTTGAAGTGAGAACAACACATATACAGATGAGACTTAAATATGAAATGTCAGCATAATTTTTGAAAAGAAATCAGATTATTCAGACTGCAAGATATAATCTAGTCAACATCATTAACGGTGTCAAGATTCAATGCATGGAAGCTATATGACATAGGTACTATGGACTGAAATGAGTAAATAAATGTGAATATAACAGTAGAGATATTTGTAGAATAACGAACAAACACATCTGAACTCTGCGATCAAGGAGACGATATATTATCGCAGGTATATCGATGATACGTTCAATTATATGTGACAATATGAATCATCAACCAAGCTCATCAAAAAAGTTATAATTTTACAATGAAATATGAAAATGTGGACTGATACAATTTTTTTGAATCTAAGTATAAAACGGAAATGTGATGGTACAGCTGAGAAAATCATCCACTGGAGGCATACACATGGATTCGTCAGTACCTTCACTACCAGCTGTAAACGTGGTTCAGTCGGGACACTCTTCACTAGAATATACACTCACTATGCTATGCTCAAAAGATAAACTGAAAGAAGAATTCCCTACCATTCAGAAGACTCTTATACAAGATATATATACCCGAAGAAATTCATCATGAAGCATGCAAAAGAAGTTATTGACACAGAGAGAGAGAGAGACCGAAACATCCATCCAACGACTGAGAAGAAGTCTGTCCTCCTTCGTCTAGCATTCACAAGTGATGAAACACCTGTGAATAATAGACAGAAGAATGAAAGCTGCACTGAGAAGGAGCTTCCTTACTACCACAATGATCTCAGTTTACAATACAGTATATGCTCGATAACACAATTGAATGTAGACAAACGCCCATCTCACATCATCTCAAACTGTGTATACCAATTCATCTGTGTTTGTAGAAGCAAGTACATAGGACGGAACGAAAGAAGAGTGTCTACTTGATTTCATGAGCATATACTGAGTGAGATCTCTGTGTGTGAATGATAGCAAGTTGTCTACCAGCACAATCACCAGACAGTCGCCTGGTGGAAACAACACATCAAATAGATATTTCTCAATTCTTCATAAAAATCAACAAACCAAGATCATCATGTTTATTAGAGTTTGTAGAAGTTGTTGCCACCAAACTTTTTTCAGCGCTGATCTATGTACTCAGAAAGACACTGTAATTAACCTCTGTTTACTATGTTAACTGTATACACCTTTTTGCATATCTATGTGTATAGCCTTGTTTTGTTTTGATTAGATCATCTCCTCATTCATTACTTACTAACTGTTAATCACTCTTAGCGTAACGTTTTTCCGGTTTTTTCTCCATGTCATTATGTGATGTTTGTTTGTCATCGTCGTCCGCCCCCCCCCCTCACTTATCATCACATATAGACTACCATTGTTGTGGACTAAGATTTGTAATTATTAATCCTGTGTCGCCCTGACTCCCTACCTACCTTTTTAATAGTCTCGGATTTCAAATCTTCATTTATTTATTTATTTCAACATATTGAAAGTATGCTGGATCATTACTACTACTAGTAATACTTCATTTCAACTGTTGGCTGTTTCCAGCTGATGAAAGCAAATGAGATGAGATGAGCTTAGTTCATTCTGCGAATATCTTTTTTTCTAGGTCTATTCAAATTTATTAAGGGAACTAAATGCATGATATTAGATCAATAAAAGTATTTGTGTTGATCAGGGTGAATTGAACTGATTACAAAATGATTGTTTTCCTGGTCCAAGGCCTTATTTATCAGTGGTAGAGATTCAGCCAGCTGAGAGAAACCAAATAGTTGACACCATCTCAACTTTCCGTACACACTAATGAGGTCAACCTCTAATGACAGAAATGGTTATTCGGTGTTTTAATCACCTTGATTCATTATGATAAATTGGTTGGTTGTGGCTAGCAGAAGAATCTAGGACGAGCGTTTCATCCTATTTAGGACTTGTCAGATGGATATACCTGCACCTCCGTCCGTGATGCTGTTCCCTGTACCCATCACTTCAAACGCCAAGGAGTTATCCACTATGCCACGGAGAGACAATAGGCACTTCTAGTACAACGGTTAATAGTTATGGCATATGGGCTCCTATGCGGATGCCTAGATATTAGCTGAATGTTAATTATGATAAATTGGTTGGTGGCTATCGTTCCTTCGTAGTATGGTGGATGACGCCTTGACGTTTGACACAATGGGTACGAGGTTCGAGTCTCAGTGGGAACAACATCACTGAGATGCGAGTACATCCAGCTGGTGAGTCCTAAATGGGGGGAAACGCTCATCCTGGATTCTTCTGCTAGCCACAACCAACCAATTTATCATAATTAACATTTAGGCAATATTGAGGCATCCGCATAGGAACCCATATGCCAATATACAGGTCGAACAATTCGATCTAACAAAACAACGCAGAACAACAAGTATGTCAGTAAATAGTAACACCTTGATTGAGTTAACGAAGACAACAGATAAACATGATTGGTTCACTACTACTAAAGCATAGTAATATGTTTAGTATCAGCGTTAACTTATCAAGCACAACTATCAACAGCTATAAATGATAAATAGTTGATTTTAATATCAACTTACTTTTAGGTTAGCTGATGAATTATCAGTTAACCATGCATAAACAGCTTCAGCCATACCACAATAACCTTGATCCGTTTTTGTCTGATCAATACATGTGACCAGACTACGAAAAGATTTATTAATATAGGAATTTGATCAAGGCATAAAATTTTGGCTACTTTTGCATGTTCTATAGGCCAACGACGTAATAATAAATATTCATATTGTTTTAAATGACGAACCATATATTGAGTTTTTTGATGAAATTCTAAAAGAACCAAGGTACGAATATATTCTTCACTTTTTGACCCTTTTTAAATTGAAAGGAGAATAAAGAAAAAGAATTTTACTACTTAAAATATCATATATAATAAATATTAATCTGATAAACGGGAACAATTGTTCTTTGATATAAACGCGTCATAAAACTTAGGAGGGCGGGGTAGGTAAATGAAGTTAAATATATATATTTTACTGTTCAAAGTATAATTTGGAAGAGCTATCACAGCTAAGAACACGATAGGAAATATATTAGACATCTTCAGTCTTTAGTAAATATATACATATTGTTTAGCTACGAGGTACAACACATCTATTACGTATTTGGCTACAAGCTTCACTTCTTATAATGAAGGTTCATTACATTAGCCTTTTACTCAGACTAAATCAACTAACTTAAGACAGTTAATCTGTGCCACTTTCCTACTATTATTGTGCATTGAAAACGTAAAGCAACTAATTTTGTATCAATTAGCTAATTAGATGATTAAACCAAGGAGTCAAAGAAAGAGGCTGTTGAACAAATACTCTAAATGCGATAATGCTGTAGCTTAAACAACAAACACTTATTCCTATTGTTGCTTGTATTATCCCATCGCTGAGTGGACCGAATTGATCAGTCTACATTGGTATATGCGCTCTTGCCTGGATCCCTCGATATTGCCTGTTTTTGAATTATTTATTAATGATGGATAGCGGTGGAATCCAGGACCCGTGTTTCGTCCCATTTAGGACGCCTCAGCTGGATGTACCTGCCTCCCAGTGAGCGATAGTCTTCCGACAGGCAAGATAGAGGCACCCACGCAGGAGCCCATATACCAATAGAGATCAATCAATTTGGCCCGTTCAACGATGGAATAATACAAACAACGACACTAAAAATATACCTATCGAACAAGAAGTGGTTATCGTAACCCGATGGTCTAGTGGATGACGCTTTGGTGTTTAAAGCGATGGGTCCAGAGTCACCCATAAAGCAGTTATGACACGGAAAACTCACTGTTTCTGAGTATCATTAGTATTGATCATTGATAAACCGACAAATGTAATAACCAAAGGTCAAAAAACGAAATGAAAAAAACAACTTTTCGGTTCACTTAAGCATACACAATTAGGAGTAGTAACTGACCATACATGATTAATTAGATATAATGTTCACATTGTCACAAGATGTAGAAGGTTCGTGTACCAATACAATGATAAGCACACTAATAATGAAAGAATAACTTACAATTATGAAACATCTTACGAGAAGAAACACGAACAAAGGGGCAAGCAGATGAAGACTTATCATTTTGACTATCCGAAATAGCCGTCTTTGACAGACTTCTATTGCTATCTCAGATAGTCAGAAAGATAATCAATACGACCCTCCCCACCAATCTGCATTTCAGTTCAATTCCGATCGGGGTGAGAAGTCCTCACTACGCAACTAGCGCGAATACGATCAAGCGATAGTAACGAATTCACATGGTAGTCGGACGGAATCCTTGGTGATCGAAGTGAGATAAAAATCTGGTTAGCAATCAGACCTCGTAAGTCAGTTGGTAGGGGATTTGGCCGAAGACTCTGTGGTCACTGGTTTGAATCCGGCCGTGGTTCGAATTTTAATTTCGCCTTCAATCATCACCCAGATATAAAATTACCAATAAACTTTTGACACTGGGATGAAGCGTGTGGAAAGATGCAACCTAGCTGGTTGGTGTCAAGATGACAACAGAAACCAGTAGTTGGAGACTTTAGGTGATATGGCTCAGAATCGATGTCAGCAGCTCAGACGTATCCATACTTTACCTTCATCTGAACCACTTCAACGGATTCACCGTCTTCCCATTCTTCCTTTCTCTCTTTTGGTGGTTTCGATTGCTTTCGACCGATTTCTCTTTCTTCACCTTTCATATTATCACTTTGTTACTACGTGATATGCTGATATGAGATGTGTGACAACTTAGACCGTTACGCAGTAACGCCTGGTCTTATGTTGATATTAATGACGATGAATAGACAAAAAATCAAAATGATCAAGCAACGATTCCGAGCATTTACACTTGGTATGCTTTTTCTTTAAAACGACGAAAAGTACATAAAAATTTTGAGACTTGAAAATGAAGCTATATAGTATCTATACATACTTTACTAGGCATATGAAAGTTAGGGAATTGAGCTCGTAATTCAACAGCTGCTTCAAAACTTGCTCCTGCTATCATCTCTGGATCATCACTCCAATCTGTGCTGACCAATTCACGTACAGTTTCATTGACATTCAATGTGGAACTGCCACAGGATGACGATGTTGATTGAGGCGGCGGCGGCGGCGGTGGTGGTGGTGGTGCTGGAATTTCAGCTGAACAACGATCAAATGAAGACGTGCTCAACATAGGCAGAGTAGATAATGATGATGATGCATTCGAAGTGATACTATCACTGGAAAATAGATAAACAAAATAAAAACGATGTCATTTCATAAATATACAACGAGAGACATTTTAAGCTACACAAATTTCTATTAATGATGAATAGTGACTAACAGTGAAATCCAGAACGCGCATTTCGACCTACTTGAGATTAACTAGTCAACTGAATGTACCTGCCTCCCAGTAAGCGATGTTGTCCCCTACTAGAACTCGGGACCAGTTGCTCCAAATGCCAGAGCGTAATCCACTAGACCACCGAATCATGATAACCACTTCTTGTGCGATGGGTATAGTTTTAATGTTGTTGCTCGTTTCTCCATCGTTGAGTGGACCGAATCGGTCGGTCTCTATTGCTATCGAGGTTTTGCTCGACTACCATGTGACGTGACGTGTTACTATCGCCTGATGGCATTCACACTAGTTGCGTAGTGAAGACTTCTCATCCCAATCCAAACATAATTGAATTAGAAAGAAGGAATATCAAATTGAATATCAGTTCAATTATCTGAGATAGTTGTGGTTTGGCAGACTTGTATTGATACGGAGTGATGACTGGAAGTGAAATGAAAATTTAGGCTGTAGCAGGATTCGAACCAACGACTTCTTGGTGGCTGAAGTGAAATGGAGACCTGGTCAGCATTCTGGTCTCATAGCTTAGTCGATAGTTCCCTTGGTTTGAACCCTGTCATGGCCCAGATTTTCTTCATACCCTCAGTCAAGTCTGCAAAACCACGACATTCTTACATAGTCAAACTAGCATTCATTTTTGTCTGTCTGTGAATTTGTGAGACAAATAGGCTAAGACCTTGCAACTCACGATGCACCTTGCAGCCTAAGTCTTTACATCAACATGTCCGGTACACAAAACCGCTCCAACATATTCCTTTCCTGTCTCATGTGGGTGAGTGGAATGGAAACAATAGTAGTTTCAAGGATGATAAACCAATTGAAAATCTAGATATCTTTATTTGTCATGATTACACTGTCCTAAATATCCTTGATTCTGATTGGTCAGCTCCAACTTGAACGTGATTGGTCATCACTGAAGCTTAGTTCTACCATCCCAAGAAACATTAACGGTACTGAACCAAGATTTTTATTGATTGAAGATTAATGGCACTACTTAAATGGTGCAAACCAAATTAGCTGTTCACATAATTAAATATTCAACGATGTATGTCTAGGAGTTGAGTATTGAAACAATAACTACCAAAAGGTGCAGCTTATTCATAAGGTAAAAGATTGTTTAGAGAGCTGAAGAAAAGTCAAAGTACAGTTTGATAACTTACTTTCGAGAAAATGGTGCTGTTTCTTGAATTGCTTCACTTCCTTCATAAAGATTTTTCATTTGTTTAACATAACCTTGAAGAAGAAATAAAGTAAATTTTAGGGGAGATGAATAGTACTTCTATCCATTGAACATGTGTGCATACTTCAGGTATATGTATGTGCATTTATGTAAAGTTTTTTAAGTGTATTTATGACAATGAAAGAATGAATGAATGAATTAATTAAAAAAGTGATATAAATAAAGTTTTAATTTAAACCAAGGAATATAACACAGAGAGACAAGAAATAATTCAAAAGATTACTGTATACTCTGACAACAGAAAAAAAAAAAGGGAAACCTCTAACGTTATCAAAAATAGTCATAATTTAATTGAGTAAATGTATATACAGAAGGAGATAAGTAATCAAACAAACAATCGAAAAACATAAATGATTAATTTACAGTTAAATGATTGTGAAACTCTACTCAAAAACTTTAATGCAGTTTCCAATAAAATTTATGGATGATAGAAACCAGAAGAAAAAATAACCGTCGTTTCTTGATTCATGATGTTGTGTAAATGATGTAGTACATGAAAAGCATTGATACTGAATGAAATGAGAATCTAGACCGCAGCGGGATTCGAACCAGCGCCATTAGGTTTCCGACCAGATGCTCTAACAACTGAAAATGAAATTTTTTTTTCCACTTTAATTACCAAGGATTTTGTCCAACTATCATGTGAATTCATCACGAGTTACTACCGCTTGATTGTACTCACTCATCATTCAATATCAATACAAGTCTACCAAAAGAACGGCTATTTCACACAATCAAAATGATGCTCCTCCTTTGCATTTCAGTTCAATTTCAATTGAGATGAGAGGACCTGACTAGGCAGCCAGTTTGAATACGATTAAGCAATAGTAACGCGCCAGGACGAATTCACATAGTAGTCGCGCAAAACCCGTCTTGGTGATTGAAGTGAAATAAAAATCTGGTCAGCAGTCGAACTTCGTAGGTGAGTTGGTAGGGCATCAGGTCGGAAATCCAATGGTCGCTAGTTCGAATCCGGCTGAGGTCCAAATTTCCACTTCACCTTTAATTATCACCCAGCATAAATACCAGTCCGTCAAATCGCAGCTATCTCAGATAGTCAAAATGATAAAGAGCACTGTTGTATACCGATTTTAAAAACTCTCCAGAAACAGCAGTTCACTTTACCTACTGATATATTATTCAGAATTAACAGATAACTTGAAAATAAACTTGTAACAAGACTTCACGATTACTCATCAGTAGTCACAGATTAAGTTTGTCAATATGCATCAATCATGTTTTAGGGATCGAAGATCTTATAGTGTAATAAACAAATAATGATTATCACGGACTGACATCATTTGGGGAACCATTGAGAACCTGGAAGCACTGAACAGCTGTTCCTCCCTAGTATGAAACTCCTCAGTAGATGGATATCACAAAGTTCTAATGAGAAGTCGGTCCCTGGGGTCAATCAGTCGGAAGTGAAGTAGATCCCAACTGAAGATCTTGGGTGATATAGCCACGCTATAGCATGAATTGACAGGTTTTGGAAACTGTGAACCACTGAACTTCGAACCAGTAGCTCAATGGTTAACGCGTTCGCCGTGAAGCCTGAAAGTCTTGAATTCGGTTCCTAGCCACGTCACGGGTGCGTACCGTTGAAGAGTCTCATACCAGGACGAAACAGCTGTCCAGTGCTCCCAGGTTCTCAAAGGTTCCTAAACACTTATCATTCCGTGATAACACTACCTCAAAATTAAAACCCCCATTCCCCTCTATAAAACTGATTGGTCACTAGAATAACCAACTGAATGCTGACCGGTCGATCATTTTGTAGTATGGCCACCAAGCTAGGTAACTCACTATCAAGGTGCACCTTGATAGGTACCAATTAGTTGAAGGCGATTGGCAGAAAACCCTCAACCTGGATTTCATGCTTGTTGGGACTTGTCAGTAAAGTGTATATCTGCAATTTCAAGAGATTTAATACCCCCTGAAAGACTCGAACCAGTGCAAAAGTGAAACACGTTACCGCGACTGATATCGTATAGGACTGGACTGCGTACACTGATTGGTTACCTGAGGAAGATTTCGCTTTTGGTATGGTAGATCAGGATTCAAATCGTTGATAGTTTTATACTGTAGCCGAGACTTATTTGTTTACTAACCATTCAGTTACCAATGATGGAATTTATCTCTATTCTATTTAAGTCTCTTCATTAATCTTGTTCTTGGAATCAAGTGTTTACCATAATCCACTTGATCTGCCATAATCTCTACTTCGCTTCACTTCACGTCAATCAATCTAATTTATCTGTAATATGCTTGTATGCAAATCGAATAAAAAAAAGGGTGAGAGAAGCCATATTAACTAGAAGTTAGGGAAAAGTGAGCATTGAGCCAATAGCCTTTCCCATTACGCTGATAAGGAATACACATTAGATGGTATTCTTGTGTATCGTTACGATACGGTTCACTGCCTTCATTTACGGCTTTTTATAGAGACAATTTATTCAAGACCAATCGATTGGTTAGAAAATCAATTCAAAGGGTGTTAAAATTACAAGAAGATTAGCAAGTGGAATTGAAACCGTTATACAACATAATACCAGGCGTCAGCTGTAGGACAGAAGTGAAGTTTTTCATGCCTGTACGGAAAATAGGTTGGCAAGAAACGTATAGAACAACCTGACCATAAATTAATGCACACTACACAATCGCAAACAAAGTATGAATGTGATGCATGAAAAAAGAAATTGTTGTGTAGCACAGTTTTGTCGCTTCGTAATAAAGCTAAAAATGCCAAAAAACATTGACTGAATATTTGTTGTTGAAGAAAATCTTCAGATACAACAAAGATCCCTATTTCAGTTATTGTCAGGAAATATCAATTACTGAAATCAATACACTTAATCGAAGATCAAGAAAAGATAGAATAATGCTACTACTGAACCATTCACACCGATCTGTAAATTTCACTAGCCAGATCATAGTGATCTAAACACTGAACGGCTGTTTCGCTCCTTCAAATCCGAGCTCAGTAGCAGCGTATCCAGACAAGGTCACCTCATAGACTCGCATTACTTCACATCACCTCAATCTATCCCCCCGGCTATCTCGCATCCACCAGGTTACGCTTCTCCAATTTGACTGGCCAAACCTAAACATTGGTCTGCGTGGCTTCTAACCTCCTAATTTTCTTCAGTAGTACCATCTTTCGCTGGTTCATGATACTTTTATGTCCGAGAACACACCTTGTGATCTTGGCTGACGACTTGATTCCAACGAAAACCTTGTTGACTGGCACTATAATAACTGGGCAGTTGGAAAACTACTCGACTGTAATAAATGTGAACGTGGATCACGTAATTTGCACAGCAAACCAGCTATCAAAGACTTTCATCACATACTGATTTTACCAGCATGTAATAATCAACTTAACACTTGTACCAACTAGGTTCTATAGAGTAAAACAAATAACTTCAATAACCCGACTCCATAGTTTGGTTGATAGCCATTACAAGATCTAAACTGTTCATAACTACTGAACACTAAATGGACTTGACACAATGTGAAGTAATTTAGCATATCAGAAACTTTGGTTCAGTTTATCTTTGATGAACATGGATGATGAAATCATAGAATGAAGAAAAAAACTCGTGTCAAATCTTTGAAGAAGATGATGACATTTCTCAACGAAGTTTCCAAACATATGTTGTCTTTGATAATTTAGTTGATTGTGGCTAGCAGAAGAATCCAAGATGCGCGTTCGTCCTATTTGGGACTCATCAGCTGGATGTACCTGCATCTCAGTGATGTTGTTCCCACTGAGACTCGAACCTCGTACCCATCGCTTCAAACGTCAAGGCGTTATCCACTATGCCAGTATGTTATCTTTAAGTAATCTGGAGATTATTTGGAGGCTATAGTTTAGATAAAGTGAATTTATAATGATAATAATCACTATTATTATTGTAAAAAAAAAGTTAACCTGGTTTAACTGCGTAACTTAATCGACGACGTATCGAGCCTGAATCTGATTGGACTAAATCACTTGTAGATGAGAATAAAATGTGAAGACGATTAAAAGAAGTTATTGCTGTTCACATCACATTTACGATAATCGTGAGATACGATACACACATGGAAGAAAGTGAGCGCGCACACATACACACACACACACACACGAGCAAATTTGTGAATTTCATAAAAGAGAAAAACCGAAAGAAATAACAACAAACAAGAAGGTAAATAATCCAACAAATGATGAAATCAGAAGTATTATTTCGTGGTTAAATGAAAGTATACAGACGATTGTTTTTCATATGAAGATATGCATGAATATAACATGGTATGAATGTGTTTTAGTGCATAAAATGATGAAATGAATTCCGGTATCAGATAAACATTATGACGATTAGATTGAAAAGTATCATGAAAACACCGGGAAAATATTAGGTAACCATAGTTTATTGTGCGTATAAGTTTCAAAGACGATGGCATCAGCAACAACAACAAAAGCCAATCAGAAAACAAAAGAAAAGAGGAGAAGAGGAGGAAAACAACAAGCAATAAAATTTAAGCGCAAGTGTGTAAGTAATCCAGTGAGACATATAATAAAGCATATGAGGCCGATTAAACGGGATAAATAAAAACAATAAAATTATTTAAAGAAATTATGTACATTAAAAGTGTGCCCGAATGGGTTTCGGCACACATGTAAAAATGAAGATGTGGATGTATGTGTGTTGAAGAGAAAAAGGGATAAACAAATTATTTAAAATGATTACCACGATTTATCAAATATATTAATAAATGAATATATATAGTGCTCATTAGTGACATGTTTCTCTACATGGATATCACGAAGTTCTAATGAGAAGTCGTGATCTATGGGGTCAATCAGTCGGAAGTAAAGCGTATTCCATAAGTTGGAAACTGTGAGTCATTGAACTTTAAACCGGTGGTTCAATGTTGAATGAGTTCTCCGTGAGACCTAAAGGTCCGGAGTTCGACTCCTAGCCGGATCGTGAGTGCGTACTGTTGAGGA